GTTATCTCTGAGCTAACGCGCAACATTTTGACCCTTTTAACAGGTGTTTGAACAGATCAAATCCGGAACGCGATGATATGGCAGGATTCTCCTTAACACGTAGTTTATTCCTAGTAGCGCAACATTGTCCAAGTCGTCCTGCACAAGAAACAGCGCCACCAAACGCGCAACTAGTGTCTGCGATAACTCTAAGTTTGGTGGTGCGAGTTGCAGTCTATCGTGGAACTCAGAGATAACTCTGAGTTTGGTCAGAGAAAGAGAAATAGTGCGCAAAAGAAGAGGGGCAGCTAAAAAGTCCTCCGGGGTACATTTTGCTCGTAGTTTAAGCAGGCATGATGGGGGTATCGTGGTGCGCAGTGATTTACAAAATTTTAACATTTTGTAAAATCTTGGCCCAGGGGGTTATTCGGTGCGCTATTCACGCATATGGTACCCATTTTTCACTATGGAGTCATGTAGAGGTGTTACGGTAGGTTTACGGTAGATGGGAGAAAATCACGAAACTGATCGAAACTTGGTACACTGGGGTCATTCGGGGCGCAGATAACGAATATGACATGCAGATTATACTGTGGTGTCATCTGACGAGGTTACGGTAGGTTTACGGTAGATAGGAGAAAATCACGAAACTGATCAAAACTTGGTACACTGGGGTTATACGGGGCGCAGATAACGAATATGACATGCAGATTATACTGTGGTGTCTTCTGACGAGGTTACGGTAGGTTTACGGTAGATAGGAGAAAATCACGAAGCTGATCGAAACTTGGTACACTGGAGTTATTCGGGATGCAGATTACGGACAATCTATCTGCTACATACATTGGTGACATATGGAACGGTTACGGTAGGTATACGGTAAGTAAGACGAAATCATGGAAGGGCAACTTTGCCCGGAGGATTTATTCTGTGCGCAAATCCTAATAGGTCAATTCTTATCATTGCGTATGCCATCCGCTTTTTCTATTGTTTGAAGCTTTCAGCTGCGCAAAAGACCAATCCTCGTGATGAACAATCACTGCCCGATAGAAATGGAAATGAGTGAGGGTTTGGTATAACTTGTTTTGACCTGCTAAGTGTTAATGGAATGAGTGAGTACATGGCAAAGCAATTTTAGGGTTCATGGGTGTGTCATGGTCTAGCGGTTTAGTGATAGGATCTTTACGTTAGACCATACAGGATCGAGTCCCTACTTTAACGTCGCTTTTGCAGCAAAGTGCTTAACAGCTCCTCAAAGCAAAACTCCGAGCTTGAGAGTTGATCGGAATTACGAAAGCGGAACTCAGAGTTTCAATAAGCGTAAGGCCCCGGTCAGACTTCACGCGACTTCGCGTCGCGATCTAATCGCCAAGATTTTCATTCATTTTCATTTCACATTCAAAAATTTCGGTCTGGAAAAGTATCACAACCGAATGCAAGTCGATTGGCATGGAATGATGTTGTAACAGTTGTCTCGTCGCGATTCAGTCGCGACGATCAAATCGCGTGAAGTCTGCCCGGGGCCTAACTCAGAGTTTCAAAAACGGAACTCAGGGTTATCTCTGAGTTAACGCGGAGCTTCAATCTCGGAGTTTCGACCAGATTACTATCGACCCAGACTAATAGGGAAAGGATACCAACATAAGTTGGCGATTGTAAGACGAGATGTACAGTCGAGTAGATTTCCTGCTTAATATAGTGTCCCTGCAGACGCGACAACGCCTATGCGTCAATAATTGCCACTACGAGTTTCAGCAAGAGTTTTACAGTGTTTTCCTTGCTTATTTTTTGCTTTTCAGGTGAGCCCTTGCTGATAAAGGAAAGGTTCACAACGAAAGAAAGGTAAGCTAGCAAGAAGTTTCTCTTTTCTGAGTATGTAAATCATCGCTTACTCTAAGTACTTACGTGAAAACTACGTCGTCGTCAGTTTTACGCGTATTTTCTGTCACTTCATGCCTTTTCGCTTCATTTTCTTTGTATTTTTTGTCACATGATGCCTCTTTTTCTTGTAAATCATTTCTTGAACGCTGATAGGCTTTTATATGTGACTTAATGTCTTTATCCAGAACTACTCCGATGATTGCCTCCTTTCAAAGAGAAGTCTAAGTTGCTGCAGAGCTTATTAAGCTCAAAGAAATGCTTAACAAGAAAGAAAGAGGCATTATGTGACAAAAATACGCATGAAACGGACGCGACGTGGCTTCAATGTAGACATCTAAGAATTAGCGACGATATAACTATTCAAAAAACAGAAACTACTCTTCAACATACCTGCCTGCGCTTTATCAGCATATATCACAAGACGCGTCTTTAGACGCTGAGTTAGAATCTAATTTTTTTGCGCAACAACTTCCAGAATCAAGCTGTGGGCGTTCCAGTGTCCAAAATTGTCAAGCTTTGAATGGCCCAAAATTAGCGAGAAGCTGTGCAAAAAGTCTATGTCTGCAAGCAAAAAAGGCCGGTAGAAATTCGAAATAGGTAAATTCTGGAGCTTTTCGCTCATTTCAGACCACAAAATGCTTGACAAATTTGGACATTCAAACCTAGACTTACAACTTCTTTCGAAAAGCTGTTCTGAAAAAAAGGAGAGATTCGAATCAATTTTGAGACGCGTCGTCACATATCGTTTTCAATCGCCAACTTATGGTGGAAACTTTTCCTCCTAAGTTTGGAAACAAAGTGCGAAAACACTTTCTGTGAACTCATAAAGTTTGAGGAAAGAGAATGGCCACCAATTCCATTTTATCTATTGAAACACAAGGTTCTGACATTCTATCGTATGGGAACATATAGCAACCTTCAAGCGGTCTTCGTCAAAACATGTTACACCTTAGATGGAGTAAAAATCACGTTTGACTCTGTATTGAAAGAACACTAATGCCATTAACAGTGTACTTTCGATATCAACCCATATGTCTTCCCTCACCATGATGTGGATACGTGGATTGGTGAGGCGCCATCTCGTTTCAGGCTTGCGCCACGTTGCGTGCGCTTTGGCGTGGTGTGGCAAGGAGAACAACATGGCAAAATCTGCGCCACGTCGACCAAACGTTGCGCACGCAACGTGGCGCAAACCAGAAGCGATTCGGCGCCTCACCAATCTACGAAATCCACATCATGTTGAGGGAAGACATATGGATCGAGGATACGTGGTTTATGGATTGAATTGCCTCAAAGTTGTTTTGCCTTTACTGGACGCAATAGAGCATAAGGTACTAAGGTCAGCAATCTATCGGTCTACCAAAACTGTGCCTAGTTCGTGCAACCTCAAACTATCGTTACACGTCGCACTAAGGATATAGTCTACCGCTAGTTTTACTATGGAACCTCGAGTCTTTTGTGGCTTAGTATGCGTGGTACGCTCTATGAGCGCTATTCGACGGATTTGTAGGATAAAACCTGTTCATTTTCACCAATTTCTTCTGGGTTTCTTCCTTTTTTTTGACTGGGTATGTGTTGATTAACGGTATACGCTCTTACGATTCGTTACGTTCTAAGGCCCGTATGCACGTACATCCCCGCGGGTAGAGGATGTGCGTTTTACCATTGAAATGATCCCCACTGGGGCTCCCCTCCCTTCCCCAGGCGAACCCTCGTATGCACGCAGACATTATCGGCGAAGGGATCCCCTGGGAGTAGGGGAAGGGAACCCTCTTATGCACAAGGGGATCGAGCGGGGATATCACTTTTGCTTTCGCTTTTCTATGGTAACTTTCTTTTGCATTCTCATCTTTTGACAGCTGCTTATCTTCAGTTTTCGTTATCGGCAAATAATACAGGCGTTGCGGAATGCGCGCCTGCCGTTATGCGCTTGGCACAGCCAAAATAATATTTTCTAGGCCCTATATAGTCCTGTAATTGTCATGGATGCTTTTCACTTGCGCTCAAGCTGCCTATTTTAGCGTAATTATAACAATAGAAGTCCAGATGTCTCTGCAGAAAACGGGTAGAAGGCTTTATACTGCCGAAAAAAAAGGAGGAGGGGGGCGCGCACACTCTAACCAGCACTTCTACGCATAACAAAAGCTGCAAATCGTGCCAGCTCTCCATGAACGCTGTAGCTATCAGCTGCATATCGTCCTTTACCCCAGGGGAGTGATCCCCAGTGGCCATCCCTGCTGTGCACAAGGGAACGCTGGGGAGGGGATCACTCCCCCGAAGACCTTTACTCAGAAGCACGCGAGTCTGCTAATTTTCATTTTTTTTTCAAAGCAGTTCTACGTTAGGATAACAAGATAAAGACAATGTATTATATAAGTGATAGTTACAATATGTTGTACCAGCCTTGATGGATAAAACTATCATGTCAAATAGAAAATGCGCAATTCTCATGAATGGTCACAAACTTCTACAGATATTCGAAACTGGCAGATACATGCCCAGATTTTCACGAAAAGCGAATATAGAAGAGAGAGAGACAAAGCTGCAAGCTACAGGTCGCTGAGGGAGGAACCCGACTACCATGAAAAATCTTTCAACAATTTGAACGAAATGCTTTGTAATAATTGATTCAAATCAGAATACTCGCTTCTCTGGCTTGACCTACACCATCGAACCCCTACTCCGTTGTAGGGGATGTCGATCCCCTCCCCCGCGTTGTTGAGTTAAATTCGCGCATACGGGGTTCGAGTGGGAGAGGGGGAGGGATCCCCTCCCCCATTCGAACCCCGTATGCACTGGGGTTCGCTCAATCAATACCTCTGAAACCATTCACACCATCCCCGCTTAGGTGCAGGGGAGGGATCGCTCCCCTCCCCTCTGTCATGGCAGGGTTCGGCGGAGGGGATCGTTCCCCTGGGGATCCAGCTCCCCTCCCCTCCCCAGCGGGGACGTACGTGCATAAGGGGCTAAGAAATTTGAAAAGTTACTGATGAAGATGCCGTCGACAGCCGCGCGTTGTCCACAGACTTATATAACAAGTAAGGAGTGATTTAACGATGCATGGAAGAAGCAAACATCATAGCAAACTTTTCATTTTCATTTTGCGGTAAGCTCACTTTTTTCTTCCACTCTCTGGGTGCGGTCAACTATATGCTATCATTCTTAAGAACCTCTAGTCGTGGTAAATTTAAAGACCGGCTCTCAATTATCCTGCCAAGAAAGTAATCTAACGGAACTTCAGGGAGTCGGTTCGCAATACGACGCGCTTCTGCAGCGGCATCTGATGTGGGTGTTTTTTAGATGATACACCACCCATTTTCCATGTTTTGCAAAAATCGTCATTTCAATCATCACCTCCATCGCTTTATTTGAACCAAATGTTCAGAGCTACTTTGATCCGAATAGTGATCCAAATAACCCAAAGAATCTCTCACTTGCAGAAATTAAGCAGGCTTACGAGAGAATCAAGGCGAGTCACCTTAAAGTCTAAGCTGTAATATTCGAATGGTCTACTCTCAGGATGGAATTCTGCATACAGAGTGCAAGAAATCGGAATATTTTTCAAAGCTAACGGACAGCGAAGTTTACCTCAAGAAGGAAAACAAACAGGTGAGGTCAAAGTAAGATGCAAACAGCATTAAAATTTAGATATTTCTATCAAATCACTTATTGAGATATTGGGATAAGACAAGACTCACTTGTTGCTTACTGCTCATTCTTCTCGAATTATTCGAGAAGACTGGCTGGGGGTGCTGAGCAGAGTAGCAAAGGAATGGAAATGAGCCTGTTACACTTTAATGTCGGGATAATCAATGTGCTACCACGCAGACGTGGCTACTTATATGAAGCGGTTGTTAGTAAGAAAGCTCTAGAAGCAACGACTCAACGTCGGATTTCAATAAACCTATCTTACCAAATATGTGCAATGGTTCGCCCTTGCCAGATTTTGAGAATCGATGGTACTCAGACCCTAGGAATGGACGAACGGCCGCCAGTAGATTCGCAACTGCGGGGTAACTGCGGCCGGGTTCTTGCAGCAGAAAAGCCGGAGGATGGACGCTACGGTAGATTAAGGGTTCCGGTTCTGCTGCCGCATGAATTAAGGGCGTCGGCTCGCTCAGTGTGTTCTGTTGTAAATCTGTTGTAATCACAACAGCGGGTAAACGCGGCGACTGGCTTGAGAACTTTCATTTCTGCAATGACATTCTTGCGGCCGAAACCCGCAGGAGCTGTTCGCTCCCAGCGTCTAAGTAGCTAGAGTTCTTACAGTTCCAGAAACTAGTAACAGGATGTATTTTGACAGTAGAAGTTTTACAACGTGCTAACAAATTTTTAAATTCAAATTTTACGTTTTTATCCTTTCGATGAGTGAGATCTTGAAGCATAAGCTCACTTGAAATTCAGAAGCATCCACAAGATTATTCAAATTTTTCTGTTGTTGTTGGAGGCAACATTAATAATGATATTGTTTTGAAACTATTTAGTTTGAATTTGGTAGGCAGAAGCGCAAGAAAATATAGCCTAGTCAATTCTGAACCTCAGCAACAGTGCAACTTTGTCATTAATAATGATTTGCTCTGTGTTAACTTTTGCTTTCCGAGAGGCTTACTCCCAAACACATTTCGTGTGGAAAGGAGACGGTAGCCTCGGATAATTTTTTTGTTAGAATAAATCTCTGAATTGGCTTCTTTGGTTTACAAAATATATTTTCCAGAAAAACTATTTCAAACATCGGCCCGTAGTAAACCCCTCTTCAGGGGATCTGCCCTGGAACGGACCTGAGTTGATCGTGGGGCGCCTCAGTCCAGCATCCGGCGAGCCATTGATCTAGATGCGGACGCTTTTCAGGTATGAAAATCTTGCGCGCTATCAAGGGGAAACACCTACACTTCTTGTGCAGGTTTGGTCAAACAGGTATGTGACTGGCAGTGGCCCCAGGATTTCCGCTCGGGGGGGGGTGACGAAAATTTTTTTTCGAATGAAGGTGCGTGGCGTAAGCCGCGCACCTTCATTCGAAAAACTCCGAAAAATTTTTAGGGGTGCTTCTCAAAATTTTTGCGGGTCCCCAACCCCTAAAATGTGGAAAAAGTGGGCGTGACGTCAGCCACGCCCCCGAAATTTTTTTACAAGGCTAATTTGAATTTTTAAAAATTTTTAAAAATTATTTTATTTATTTACAAGTATAAACAAGTCATTTGCACATTTTTATAATCCTTATAAGTAACTTTCAAAAATTTCGCGACCCATTCTCGGAGGGGGGCGCCCCCCCCCCCTCGGTACGCCACTGGTGATTGGTACTCAGCCCGCACGACCGTGGTTCGGCGCCGGACAATGGCGAATTTTTGCGCATCACTGAGCAATCTTTGATAGCGGCCACTATCGAAGAAAGTCGATGACGGCCGCCATCAAGGAATCCACAAACCAAATGAATGCACAGAACAAAACTGCGTTTTTTCAACCAAAATCTTATCAAAAATTGAGAAAGTGGGAACAAAATCGAATGGAAATAAATAAAGAGATTGTCGCTCTGATAGCTTTTGTAGAAAAAACCTAAGCAAACTGTGCGAAAAGGAAAAAACCTATTCTTCTGTTTTTTGCCGAAATCGGCTGTTCATTGATCCTTTCCTTTTTGAGCACCGGTACTGTGCAGTTTTGCGCGTTCTTGTACTGCAACAATACGTCAAGTACGATGTCCCGTAAGTTACTCACGAGCAACTTACGGGATTTTTCTCTGCGTCTCATTCCTTGCACGCTATTTCGGTCAATTCATCTCAAAATCGAGGCTGCTTTTACGGATTTCAGGTGAATTCATCGAGGCACATTCCCTGACGCTAACCCTTCAGATCAGGTCGCATTCTTAAGCATGTGAGAGTGACCGCTGGTCAGTTTATCTTAAATACCTCAACTCAGCCCCTCAGTTGAGATCACCTGAAGTGAAGTGGGTTTACTACGGGCCATTGTCTCCCTTTATCTTTTGTCCTTGCACTGTACACAAGATACCCTTCTGGTAAGTATGCCACCGCTTTTCTAATGGCATATGATTTTCCAATTCAATGAAATGAAAATTTAATTCACTGAAAAGCTCATGCGTACACAATCGTTCGCAGATGTCTTTATTCTAAAATCAACAAGAAAATCAGAAGAATGTTAAAAATGGAATACAAACAACTGAAATGCGGTAAGGCAAGGGTCTGAGCCCAAAGACGAGATGGCTCAACGGTCGTACAGTTTTCGTTGACTTGACGCACCTCCTCCTCCTTCTAATTCGACGGTTACCGTTATGGCAACTGTAAACAGAGAAGGAAGAAGCGCAAACTATATATAGCATTACTGTAGGAATATTAGATTTTGTGTGTCTGTGTGTCCATCTGTTACTAAATTCGTAGAGCGTGTTCCAGCAGGCGTTCGAAGCCCAAATTTTGCATAGCTCATGCTGCCTTCATGAAAGCCCAATATGCAAAAGCACGAGTAGATTTGTTGAGTGGATCCCCCAGAAATTGCGCGCCAAACGGATCCACCTGGCTTCTGTCAAGCAAAATTGTGTCCGTATCACCACTTTTTGCAAAGTCGCGCATGTGTTTGGTAAGCAAATGTGCAAGCAATAGAGTTTAGCTCGAAAAGTGTTCAAAACTTTACTACATAACGAAAACGGCGCCAAAAAGAATCGGTTGCGTAAACGGTCAATTTGCTAAGGTTTTAGCCAAGCATTTGAGAAGATTTTCGCACAGAGATGTAGCTCACGGTGACTATTGCCTTTATGGCCACTACCATGCAATGAGAAATTCAAAAACCTATCCAAATTTGCGTTTCTCTTCCTACAAAAAGTTTCATCCACGCGAAATCACCGAACTCACGTGAAAAAGCTTTTTAAATGAGTAGATGTTCACATTTTATTCGTGGTAGTCGGCATAGTGTGGTGAGTTCCAGTGCCACGATTTTACGAGAATGAGTGAGGCACATACATTATAGTAGAACCAGTATCCCTTCTCATTTTATCTAATACCAGTGCGAGCCTCTGCGAAGCAGAGGTGACGCACTGGTATTAGATAAAATAAGAAGGGATAAAAAACAAAGCGGAGATTTTACGAAATATATGTATGCATGCAAAGATGTAAGCATATATTAGGTTGAACACTAAGTTTTGCAACTGGTCTCATAACTTCCCTCTCACTCAACATGGTGCACTCAAATTTTGCCACTGTGTTGGTTATTACGTAAGCTACAAGCGCAGCTGCTGTCCTACCAAATTCTGACGTCGCAGTGAGGGTTACGTAGGTGTATGGTATAAAGGGGAAAAATTCAAAGTTTGACGGATTTGACTGAAACTTGGTACAGGGGTGTTATCCGACATGCTGATCACAAAAACGATGGTGAAATCTCGTTATAAGAGCTTTTTTATAAGATTACTGTAGGTGTACTATATGGGATCTCACCCTAAACAAGAAAAATGGCGTTGAATCAACAAATGAATATGATATTCGCGTTCGGCAGGTCAAATAACCTTACGACGTGAAGTCTCGGCGGAATTTGAGCTTCGGACTCCTTAGTCATTGACGGTAATCCCCAGCAGCTCTTGCGTACATCGACTCGTTCGACTTTGTGAGGACGCCAAATCTCGACATGCCCCTAAATTTTGTTCCTTTCTTACTAGGCCAAAGGAGTCAACCTCCAGCAATAATTTGTAGACGAATCCGGATTACTTCGCATGGTCTAGGCTGCTAAAGGCTTCATTTTAGCTTGAAACCCCAAAAATTCTCAATTTTTACTAGTTCGCGAAAAATGCCTGAAACTTTTCTATTTCGTGCTCAAAATTTAGACAATTTGTGCTCACTTGTCGCTCACATTGCATTCTACGTAATGCCAAAATTTGAGTGTGCCATGTTGAATGAGAGGGAAGTTATGAAAGCAGTTGCAAAACTTAGTGTTCAACCTAATAATACAAAGCGTTTCCATCTCCGCCTTCCACAAGAGCCCGTCCTCGTGACCACAGACTTCTAACACAATTTCCATCAATGTCATCAGCTTTTTGCAGAATGTGGAATCATGCTCCATCGTCCGCTGGTGCGTAAGCTGATGATATCATCGACCTTAATTGACAGAGAAATGCTGGCTCTTACTTATCCAGCATTTCTCTGTCAATTAAGGTCGATGATATCATCAGCTTACGCACCAGCGGACGATGGAGCATGATTCCACATTCTACAAAAAGCTGATGACATTGATGGAAATTGTGTTAGAAGGGCTGGCCCTACCACGGAACCGTGCCACATTTAGCTTTTTTCGTCCGAGAAGAATGCTCAAGTATTCTTTATCTCTATTTATGCACTGTGCACTGTCCTCCCAAGCCTAGTTCCTGCAATGTAACAACACAAATTTTAAGTGCGGTAAGAAGAGACGGCTAAGATATAATCCGCCCTCACTACTGTGAGGGTTGCCGTTCGACTGTGTGACTCGTTATAGTCATTGAAAGGCACTCATTCAGCAACAAAAGTAAGAAGCCTGATATCTGTATGGAAGATTAGAGAGAATGGCTAAGGATGAGTATGGAGAGTATGTTGTACCCACCAGTTATATCCACTACAAACCCTTTATGTTAAAAATAAGAAGAGATGTAGGTGGATGGTGTGGAGCACGAGGTGTGGATAAAAGGAGCTGTTAGTGCAGAAGTCATTGATAAAAATGGAGAAAAATATTCTGCCTTGAGGCAGAACGATAAGATGGAAAGAACACGAAAAACATATAAAGAAAATATCCTGACCCGACGCCGCCGCATGTGGAAATGAAAATTGCAATACAAACAAAAATAATGGACAAGGCTCTGCGCCTCTCTGTCAGATCATAGTTGATAATCATCAATAAAGACCAATTTGCTCTTTCTTTTCTACATTTATACTTTGATAGGTATCGCTCCGCATGCCTAACGACTTATGCGTCTTGATCAATCCGTTACCTTAAATTTGCAACCTAGTGGAGTTCAAGTGGATTTCGTAAAGTTGTGAGGAGGGGCTCCAAAACGCATGCGTTTTTGAAAATCGAAAAAGCCGACTCTTGGCGGGGTGGGAAAGATGTGACGACCGTAATGCTCCACACGTGACCACAGCCGCGCGCGACACATCCTAAGGCGGCTTTTGCCTAAGCAAAATAAGGGGAAGGAAAGATTTGCCGCGTGCATGATTTGTTCAGGCAAGTATCAGGGCGGCGCTGGAGACCGCCCTCGAAAACACCGTCGTCTCCCTCTAGCGGGCCTCCCCCTTCCGCCTTCCCTTTAACCGGGGTAATTCTGGAATCGTGACATTCACTTTACTGGTTTGTTATGGGAACGATGCAATGAGTAACGCAAAGACTCTGAGTACCGTAACAGGGAGACGACCCTTTTGCAGCGCTCGCCATAGCAGTTTATTGGCACGCGCCTCTGATTGGTGGAGCGCAGCAGCAGCGCGTTAGCTTAGAAGGTTGGCTGCCCTTAAAGACTCAGTTGCGCAGAATTGGAAAAGATTACGAACGCATCCTTACAAAGAGAAAAATTGATGAAAACTTCAAGTTTTTTGCAAGATTGTGGAATCTTGACCTATTTACAACGTGAACTTAAACAATGGGGCGCCAAAAATGCAGCGCTAGAACCACATAGCAACTGTGTGACGGCCGCAATATTAACAACAAATATCTTAAGTATTTTCTTCAATCACTTACCGACAAAAATCTAGAAAATTAGTGGTTGAGGAAGTTTATTTTCCAAAAGTTCTAGTTTTTCGTAGGTGCTTCTTTTGATAAAACTCATGCGAAAACGCTCCATAAACCTGAGTTTGCATGAAGGAAAAACAATAACGTTTGATAGCGTTGAAAGTGTTAGTGCGTGAGACTTTCAAAAATGGCATGGCGGATAAGAGCTCATGCACGCACACGTTCGCCCGGGGGCAGACCAATTAGTTGCAGGAGGGAGCGACGCAGAAAGGCATACAGCCACCATAACGTTATCTTTGTTTTGCCTTCTTCAGCGGACTGGCAGCTTTAAAGAACGAGGAGCACGAAATGCGCTAATGCGCTTAGCAGAGCAGCAACAGAAGAAAGAGGTACGCTGCCCTTGTTTGTGAAGAGGTGTCAGTTTTGCGAAATGATACTGGTACCTTTAATATAGGTTTTTATTGGCTCCAACAGGAATTATGCAACCGCTATGGCTTGCCATGGTAAACAGCTTGGTATACCAATTACGTGTGTACTGCCACGCTTCATACCACTGTCGACAATTTCACTTTGCAAGGATTTTGGAGCTAAAGTTGTGGTGCAGGTACGGGTGCACCTGATTTGGATTACATACACATGGTATTGCTTGTCAAAGTTGAAAATTTAGGGGATAAACAACACGGAATCAAGAAAAGTTGCGTTTGAACTTGCTCAGAAAAGTGGTGGAGAGTTCATTGATGGACATGATCACATTGATATCATAGCCGGAGCTGGCACCATTGCACTAGAGATTCTTGAAGACGTAATTTTTTAGCAGAGCTTGAAGGCAGTACCAGGCTGATGCATGAGCTTCTGTGTGGATCCGTTAGGAAGCTCAACTGAGCCGTTAGGAGCTATATCTCACTTCCAAATGCTTGCCCATTACCGTGCGAGAAGTCGTTCATTGATTCGTCCAGTGAGAAAACGGCAGAAGGAAAGAGTTAAAAAGCGAATTGCTCTGCCATCCAAATATAGGAGCTGCCGTTTAAGTAATGGCTCAGTTGAAGCCGTTTGTTTCTTTTCTACAGGAGAAGCCCAAATAAATACATTTGCCCAGATACTGTACCAAGGTCAACTTAATGATTTGATTTCTGTTTAGGTCAAAGACGTCGATGTTATTGTCGTTCCTGTAGCCGGTGGAGGTCTCTTGGCTGGAATCACAGCAGCAGTGAGAGAGCTATCTCCTAAAACGCGTGTTGTAGGTGTGGAGTCGAAAGCCTCTCATTGTTTTAGCGTGAGTGATTTCTCCAATTTATGAGAGAGATCAAGCTGCGGACAAATTTGCAGGAGGCCCTCAAAAATGGAAAACCAGTCAATGTACGGACACGAACATCACTATCTCCTTCACTTGCAATGTCAAGATTTGGCTACAATTCTTTCAATATCATTAAAGGTAGTTCAATAAAGTGGAGAGCTTTTTGAATAGAAAAAAATTCAAAGGCAAAGGAATAAATAGCAAAGATGGGCATACGCCCTAATTTATATATGGGCAAGGTCGAATACTGTTATTTATTTTATTTTTTTATTTTATTACGTAGGGAGACCCTACGAAAGATCAACAAAACTAACAAGACACAAAAAAGCATCAATACAACGTCATAACAAAACAACCAACGAATTTCGTTTTTTTTTGCAAATAGCTCCTTAACAATCTTTTGAACGGAGCCAGTTTAGGGACAAACACTCGTTCACGTATAAGTATGTCTACATCAGGCAAAACTCTACACACAAAGAAATGTCTTCTTACATTGAGCTTAGATCTCTTGGAATAATCAGTTTTCTTGTACCGCCCCTAGTTTTGGATATCTTTGTCTTAAAAACGTATCACGATTCACAGTCTTCGTAGATTATCTTATGAGCTATGATAAGATCAAATTATTTCCTTCTGAGGCCAATGTCATTAACCCAAGATTCCTATTAGGGTCTGCTATTTGGAATCTGATCATAGACGCACCCAACAGTTCTAATCAATAGCTTACGTGTGAAACTATCTTGAAATTTCTCCAAACGATCGATACTTTTGCGCTTGGAGGGGTTGTAAATCACCGTACCATATTCCAGCATAGGCCTTGTGCAACTTTTATAAGCATTCAAGAGAACTAATCTCTTGTTGAAAGCGCCCTAAACAGATTGTACACCGCCGCTATACCCTTGCCAGCTATCTTCTTACAGTAAACATCGAAACAAAGATTATTCTTGACCAGAGACCCTAAATCTCTGATTTCCTCCACAGAATCAATTAAAGTTTCCCCCTAGTGAATAAAGATGCTTAGGATTAGCCCAATGTGCATTACTTTTGTTTTTTTCGAAATAGGAAGGCCCCAATCCTGCGACCAACTATAAATCTCATCAAGAGCACTCTGTGACCGATCGCGATCGGCAACATCCATGACTACCCCATATAATTTGAAATCATTAGCAAAAGCAGAACAAGATACATCTTTCGACAATGGTATACGTGGGATTTTATGGGTATAAATGTTAAAGTGCATGGGAGATAATACCCCTTCTTGAGGTACACCACATCACATCATTTTAGGTTCAGAGAAAACTTTGACGACACGGACCACAAAAGATCTACAGCCTAGAAATGCACTTATCCAAGCGACTATTTGTGGGTGCACACCGACTGCTTTCAGTTTATTTGTTAATACCTATGAGGGACCTTATCAGATGCCTTTGAAAAGTCTAAGTAAATAACATCGGTGTTACACCCCTTATCCATCTGGAGGGTTCAGTCATTGTTTGATTGTAGCATCGCTATAACCGTGGATTTTTCTTCTTGAAAACCATGCTGGGAAGAACAAATAACTTTCATATCAGTTAAGTGTTTAACAATGCATTTTTTAAAGATTTTTTAAACAGTCTCGAAAATATGGAGGTTATACTTACTGGTCTGAAATTGCTTGGGCAAGTCAATGGCTTCTTTTTGGCGATTGACGTAACAAACGATACCCTCCATTTAGAAGGGACTTCGCTCCGCATACTCAAATTGTATATAAACCAGTGCGTCACCTCCGCTTCGCGGAGGTTCGCACTGGCTCTGTTATCCGTATGCCTTATTCATGCTCCCAAAATGATGACTTTGAAACTCACCGCGCGAGGCTGTACATCTTAAATGATTTATAAACAACTGTCCATTCTTGAGGCATCTCCATGTAAGATCGGTAATTTTGAGAAAGGAAACTTGCCAAGGAATAAATATGAATTCGAAAGATTATTGAATTTGTTTTGGCTTGATAATTGTTATAAAGATAATAGTCATTTTGGGCTACATTTCCATGCAAAAATTTTTTCAGATATCTAGGTAAAACCTTGTTAAATCGACTCTCTACGCGATCACTATTTTTTGGCGCTGTTTTCGCAGAAAGGCAAACTTTTTAAGCAGTTTCTGAGCTAGAATTCTTGGAGCGCAGATTTGCTTGTCAGGCAAATCAGGCCTTTGCAAAAAGTTGAATTCGTGACCTAGTTTTGCGCGCCAAAAGCCAGATGGACCCGTTTGAGGCGCAATTTTTGAAGGACCCGCTTATCGAACCGGCTCGTCCTTGTGCATTGTGGGCCTACATGCTGGTACGGTATGCTATGCAAAATTGTAGCTCGATAGCTTGGCTACAGCTGCCTCTATGAATTTCGTGACAGACAGACAAACACACACAAACACACACACACAAAGACAGACGTTTAGCTCTTTATTATAAGTCATGATTAAAGTGGACCGCAAATAATATGAGCTATGGCCTTGATAAACTGAAGTGCAAAAAATCAGGTGTAAATGAGGACGATTTCGGCCATCTAACTAGAAGTTGGTATACTTCTTCACCATGAAACCAAACTCCATCGTTCATTTGCTGAAATTCAGAAGAAGTTTCTATTGTATCCGAAGCATCTTTCTCCACAAAAGTTTTTTTCGAATATGCTTGCAAAGCAGTCCGCCTTTTCTCTATCCCCATAAATGGGTTCACCGTCTTGAGTAAGCAAAACTCTAACTTCTCTTTTATTTTTAAGCCTTAGTTTAAGCATCCTGAAAAAGGAAGCTTTGTTGCCCGAGTTGATAACCTTCATTTCAAGCTCAGAATAATATCTTTGTCTTTTGTTGAACTTCTCATTGAATTTTCGGAATGTTTCTCAACAGATTTTATCACTGCCACTTATTGCCCTTTCCCATGCTTGCTTTCTTCTTTGATCAAGGTTTCTGAGGTAATCAGATATCTCAGATTGCTTCGAAGAGCGACAAGCAAGAGGAAAATATAGATCGGTTGCATGATGGAGTACTCCAAGAAAAAGTTCATACATCTCATCAACTGTGTTAACATTGTTAACGGACTCGTGCCAATCCACAGTGGACAGAAAGTGCGTCAAAAAATCTAGTTGTATATGCTTAAAATCTCTACAATACTCTACACAATCGTACTAAGCATCTTGACAGCTGACCGTGAACCCAACTGATGCGTGATCACTATTATCCAGTGGCTCCCTTGCAGAAACTCCGTATACCACTGTCGAAATCATTAGTAAAAATCAAATCCAACATATGGTGACCCGAAGTGTTAAAAGTGATGTTTTGTACTAGCCTGTGGATTGAATCAGCGCTTCAAGATGTATTTAATGGTGTACGTTTCATCTCAAAAGGCCACGGTCACCAATTATCCTTTTCTTGTAAGCTGTTGTAGGCTAGCAAATCCGTATGTGCTCTTATCATCTGTTCTGTTTGGTGTGAGGCGCAAGACGGGAACCTATAGATCAAGAGCCATCGAATGGGTCTATACCCTGCAGTATCACAGCATAAGAGCTCATAGCTATCATCCACTGATTCATCAAACAAAAAGGGCTCAACTTATTACTTACTAGAAACACTACACCTCCGCCACTTTTTGAAGCACGATCGCAACGAAAAACTGAATAATCTAGAGCAAAATTACCAAAGAGAGAGCTATCACTGATTACGTTGTTCAACCAACTTTCTTAATGGCAACTAGAGCGGGCTTACATTCACCTAAGCAAAATTTCAGATGATCAATATTCCTAGGGACTGAACGAGTATTTGCTAAAACACCGATTAAGGAGCTACTTGCGATGGAAACGTCAGGCTTGATAAGAACTAGGCTCATCCCTATCCATTCCCGAAGCAACAACGTTATCACTACCAATAGTAGTAGCATGCACAATCGATGACCTTGGATCAGACATATGAGCACTTTGAGGTGCGCTATGACATTTTCCCTTTCTTTACAGATCCTGTCCTTCTCTTCCTTAGGAAATTAAAAATATAAATTCCGCATTTGAAAGAGAGGGATCTCATCTTAGGTCCTCGTTTTAGCACTAACTGAACAAAAAAGGAGTTAGGTAATGCTACATTAAGAAGTCTATCATGAGCACCAGACCTTCCCAGACGATAGATAGAGATCGGAGCACAATCAATAGAAAGAAAATTGAAGACATGCTGAATACAATCGTAATCGTGCCTGACTTTAGAGCTGCAGCGCAATCCTTTGAGTTCCGGGTCAAGCTGATGATCAACGAATGGGATCGTTCCCTTTCTTCCAAATTGCAAATCCTTTAGACGAAATTGGATTTCGTTGAGCGGAAGTGGCACTAGGCGAATTTTCGATTTTTGATCTGAATTGTTGATTGTCATTTCTTAGCGAAACTAATTCCTCTGACATCGTTCTAACTTGTGACAATAACTCACGGTTTTGTTGTACCATGGATTCGTACATCTTGCTGTTCTCCATAAGGTAAGCCACTATCGTGCGAGCGTATAGCGGCACTTCCTCGTCCTTAATCAAGTCCTCAGCCGCACGATCGAAATCCGGGGGAGTAGGCCCATCGAACTGGAGTCGTCGTTTCATCTGTTTCTCCTGAGGCGCCAGTGGATATATTAGGGTTTCCATAGGGACGTGCCGCAAGAATATCAGAAGGAATCAGAAGAAAATCGTGGTCCAAATAGTAAAGTCGTTGACGCAGCCAGTAAAGCAAATCAATTGAGAGCGGGAACAAGAAGCGACCGCTCAGTAAGGCACCTGCCATACTTGATCCGCTTAATCCACTTGATCCGCTTGATCTGCTTCGTCATTGGTCGATTCAGTGAACTGAGCAATAGCGAAGCGGTTGTCCGCTTGATCCGCTTGATTCACTTCACTATTGGTCAGTTCACTCAATTGACCAATGATGAAGCCGATCAAGCGGATCAAGTGGATTAAGCGGATCAAGTATGGCGGGTGCTTTAGGCGACACAGGGCCAAATGACTGTTACTACTGTTATGCACTATATCGTTTTTTTCGGAAATCGTCATTCTTGGCAGTATTTGGGCGGATCCTGTCGGGTTTTTTGATTTGAAAGGAGGTCTTAACCGCCCTTTCATTGCCTGAGCTCGTAGGACTTATTTGCGGTAGAAAGATTAAAACCTTGGCTTTTGCTCAGACCGCACTATATACCCTATGCAAAGATAGTTGCGCTAAGGCCCCGGGCAGACTTCACGCGATTTGATCGTCGCGACTGAATCGCGGCGAGACAACTGTTACAACATCATTCTATGCAGATCAACTTGCATTCGGTTGTGATACTTTTCCAGACCGAAATTTTTGAATGTGAAATGAAAATGAATGGAAATCTTGGCGATTAGATCGCGACGATTAAGTCGCGTGAAGTCTGTCCGAGGCCTAAAGAGTACGGTGTAGGCGAGAAGATGATGTCAGTTGGAATAGATGGTATATCAATTTCATCTGCCGCTTGGGCTGCTCAGTTAATGCTTCTGAATGCGTGCCTGAAATGCTCCGTTCTTGCTAAGCCTTGCTGTATGCATTTTTTTGCTTCTCTGACAACAAATGACTCAAACTGTAAAACTAAAACCTGTGGTTTGCAATGAATATGGTTTGCTGATTATTTAGGAACTCCCACTGAAGTTGCCAAAATCAAGGAAATGGATCTAGCTCGAGCCATTCTGATAATGCTCGAAAATCATAAGGTTATACGCACTATCGCACCATTGCAAATTTCAAAAGTTTCTAATCTTGCAGTTTGCGGTTGAAGGAGCAGGAGCACTAGCGCCAGCCGCGGTGATGACTGGTCAAGTTGAAGACATTCAAGGAAAAAAGGTGGTGTGTGTCATAAGCGGTGGTAATGTGGATAGCACAATGTTGGGACAGAGCATAGATAAAGGTGTGCTGAAAAGAAGTAGAGTAAGTTTATAAAGTTTTGGAGACTATTCAGGTCTAATTGCGGATGATCGTCTTGCGCTGGTCGAAGTATTTTTGCCTGATCGACCAGGTGGTCTCTGCGAGCTGCTCGAGCTCACTTCAAGTACCGGTGCTAAAACCAAGCATATCTATATGGTATGCCATGACTATAGAATGTTACAGTTGTGTTAGCTAGAAAACGGTGTGGTGCCGAAGAGCACGATCATGGTTGGCTCCGCCCCTGACCACGCCCCGTTTTGGCTAGTATCACCGTGATACTATCATGCTTTTCCCGGCCTAGGACGAGACCCTAGAAATTCGTGTGTAGCAAGATCCCCTCCCCCACCCCTCCCCCCCGTCTCGGTTCTATGGTAAAGATCATTTTTTCTCAGGAGCACGTTTTCCACAAATTTGATATATTCACTGTCAAAATGAAGCTCGAAGTTGTGACTAGTGGAATGCAGCATTCTGAAGAATTGAGAAAGATTCTTGAACAAAGGTATGGTTAGAGTAAGTAGAATGCAACAATTAATTCTAATTCCAGATATGGAGACGATCTTTCTTTCCATATGAGGAAAATGCGTGCAGTATGAGTTCGTTGGTGGTCCGTGTTATGTACATAAAACGTTCGAACGACTTTTCGTCACATAATAAAGTGACTTTTCAAACTATATTTGGCCACATCAATAAAAGTCACACCGTTTAAACCAAAGGTTCTTTGAAAAACTCTAAATAAGGTTTGAAATCAGATTTTGTTTCATTGAACGAAAATATGAGCTGTATTAGCCACTGCTTCTGATAGGCGTTGTCTTTGATTAAGACTCATTGAACCACGATAGAACAATTCCAACGTAAAATCATGCACCAGAAGACAATGCTCATGTATCTCTACAAGGTTTTGGAAGAGAACTCTGCAATTGCGGAAAATAGAAGATAGGACACTGATCAAAATCAGAGAGCGAAAAAGTTTTCATCGATATCAAACTTCGAGCTTTCCATGCCTGTTGAAAGAACATGAGAAAAATTCAAGAAAATTCTGAGTGAATTGAGCAAAATCGTAGAAGGCCCAATCGTTCCAATAGATACTGATCTTAGCTCACTTATCAAAAAATTAATGTCATCATAAAAGGCTAGATGGCTTTGAGCAGCTTTCTTTGACATTGAGATATTGGAGGGGTGTAAGGCGATTTGCACGACCGTTATGCTTTCCACACAGGACCACCGCCGCGCGCCACATAACCTGCTGCGGCTACCTTACTCAGACATTCGCGGTTAAGCCCCGCCGGTGAAAAAGTTGTGTCCCGACGGACTACGGGACTCAAGTGAAATACTTCGCAAGAAAACCGGGACTTCCGCATTTCGTTCGGGATAATACTGCGCGATACGCGCTTTTGTTCCGAAATGTTTTCTGCTGAGAAAACCGGGAGCTCCTGCAGGAGTCCCGATAATGTCGCGATCCAATCACCAACGGGACTCCCGCTCATATAAAAAAATCGATTAAGGCCACCGTACAGCAGCTTCGGAAACCAAGTCCGAGTTCAAAATTGAGCAACGCCAAGATCCTATCAAAGGTTGTCCATTAGACAACATATTGACAGTGTTCTTGCCTGTAAGATTGGAAACACATCCAAACTTGGACATTGAGAGTAGTCTGACCATGCGTCGTATTTCACGCAAGTATCCTTTACGCTCAGACACTGGGAGCGCGCCCGAAATCGCGACTCTCGATAATCTCCCGCTTCAATTATTCTGTCGGGATAATCCCGAAAGTAGGGACAAAACCGGGTGTCGCGCAAGAGTCCCGATTTTCTCGCGATTTCTCATTTTGTGGGCGGATCTCCTGCGGGACCGCAAATGTCTGAGTATCTCAGACATTCGCGGTCAAGTCTCGCTGGTGAAAAAGTTGTGTCCCGCCGGAATGACTGCGGGACACAAAATGGTTCGCGAAAAAATCGGGACTCCCGGTTTTCGTTCGGGCTAATGCTGCGCGACAGCGCTTTTGTCCCGACATGTTTTCTACTGAGAGAACCGGGAACTCCTGCGGGAGTCCCGATAATGTCGCGACCCAGTCACCAACAGGACTCCCGCTCTAGGCTGCAGTCTCCTGCGGGAGACGCGATATAGCAACGATTCGATTAGCTTCTGGCTGAGCTTTTTTTCAAACTGGCTCTCCTTCAAAAATTCGTACTACACACATCTTACAAAGGTGCTTACTCGATATAGAGTTCGGAAACACTCTTCATTACATTCGTGACCAAAAAAGAACATCAAAATCACTATAACTAAGTTAACAAAAACAGGAATGTCGAGATCAAGATTTGAGATTGAATCCATAACTCAAATCGACTTCACACTTTCGATGTCTTCGTCTTGCTCATGTTCCGGCTCATTCGTGTGCTCGTGCGCCAAAGAATCTTGCGTTGTAGTGGGGGCAAAAACGTTTTTTCTGGAAAAGAGTAACAATCTAACACTGATTTGAGAAATCATATATGAATATTACCGAGGGTGGCGACAACATTTCCTCATCAGCATCAAAATGGTGTGTGCTCGCACATCTTCTCTAAACTTCAAATTTAATTGATTCATGAAAACTATCTTTGAAAGAAACCCACAAAGCTTTTCGTCCACTCGTGCTAATTCATTTAACTTTATCCTTGCCTCGGACAACTTGTCAAACATCTTCGTCTTAGTCTCGTCGTCGTTTTAGCCAATTTCAGCGTATTTATAGAACATTCTGCGCAAATCCACCTATGTTGTGTTGTAGGAGATATTGTCAATCTGAAAAGAATTGAAACTTATGAACTATGCCACAAAATAGAAAAGGAATTTACCTTGTACAAACCATCAATCGGTGGAGGAGCACGGCGCGACATGTTCTATAACGAACTTAAAGGTTCGCAAACTGCTGATTATAGAAGGAATGATGGAGAAGAGAGCGAACATGAATTCTATTTTTAAGAGTACCATTCAACTCAGCTCGGCGAGGAGCATCTTCCAGTATATAGATATGCCTAGTCGTGGGATATAGGTTTTTTTCTTGGAATTTCAGTGTAAATGGATCATTCAGCGTGCTGGTCCAGAGAACACATACACATCTGTTAGCACTGCAGAAATACGGCATGTACACTTTAAAAGCACACGGATATGTGTAAGACTGGGCTTTTTTCGGCGAAGTATGACGGGTCGCAAAATGCAGGAAGACATAGTATGGCAGGAAATTGCATGCGAAGCACTATCGTGGAATGCCGCGCGCGCTGTGCAATGTACAATACCACCCACAGAACGGGAATTTCGCGCAATTCCAGAAATTTCGCGCTTCCGGAATATCGCAAATTATGCAGCGCCATAACTTCCTTCGGAATGAATATACAGGGTGTCCCAAAAGTAAGTCCACACTTTTCAATCGTCAAAATCTCTTTTCCTAATGCGTCATCTTCTGCCATTCAAGCACCATCCTGTAGTGGAGGCTATCGGTCGGATCGATCGCTTTTCGTTACTGTAGGATTACGGTAAGAACTTCTAGCATGTGGAAACATGGTGAAATATGTCATGTGACAAAATTTTTTGCAAAAAATCTGAAAAATTGTGTACTAGGGTTTTCGCTCACGCCAATTCCACTACACAACTTTTTACGAGTGTTTTCAGCTTTTCTGACGGTGTAATCACATTTCTGACAAATCCTGGGAATTCTGTTATTACGGTCTACCTGGGATAAAAGAAGCATTACAGTGAAGTGGAAATTTCATAATCGACATCAGCGGCATCCGTTATCATAGTATAAGAGTTTTTGACATGTTTGGTTTTGTTCCGAGGCAGAATATGGTTTTCCAGTTGCCTAAAATCCTTATCAAAGTTTCTACAGCAATCCTACAGTAATGAAGAGCGATCTGTGATTCGCTTGATTGTAAAAGTCCAAGTTGAAGCCTCCTCCAAAGAAAGGTACTTAAATGGCGGAAAAACACACAATGGGAAGAAAAGTGTGTACTTACTTTTGGGACACCCTGTATTCTGAATCCGAAAGCAGCATTGTGTTCAGCTCGTCAAAGCGAATCTTTCGGTGTACATCATGTCCTCCATATCTCATTTCCAGTTTTCTCAAATTTTTCTGCGGAGGTCCCTTCGCAAGGATGTAACGCAGCGGCTTCCAACATTAAGGATTCCAGTAAACATTATTCGATAGTGCTTTTCTTGTACATTAAAGTGCGCTAAAAAGCAGCCGCACACTTTTTTTCAAAAGAGAAAAAAGCGTTGGTAAGGAAAAATCACTCGTTTTTAAACTCGCCGTAACTTTTTTCAACTCGCCGTAACTTTTTTTGGAGTGGATATTTCCTGAATCCGAAAAAAGCATTGTAGTTAGCTCATTAAGACGAATCTATCGATATGCAGAATGTCCTTGATATCTCGATTTCAGTATTCTTGAAACTTCCTGCGGACGTCTCTTCGAAAAGGTGTAAAGCAGCGCGTAGTGCCCCTAGTAGATTCAAAAAGAAACTTTCCATGGTACTCCTTCTGTAGATTATGAAGCGCTAAGAATTAGCTGCACATTTCTTTCCAAAGGAGATAGAAGGGCTGGTGAATTAAAACATGTCGTTCTAAATGTTCTCACTGTAACTCTAAAATATGAAGCTCTCCTGCTAAGCAGATGTGATTTTCGTAATCAGCATGTCGGATAACCTTTATGAGCAAATTTTCGAGATGTTGTTCGGTAATTTCATTTTTTTCTCGTTCTCCGAAGCTGGCCGATGGATTTTGGTCAAAATGTTGATGATCTTGAAATGTAAGGAAACTTCGCCTATAGAGGTTTTCGGACACGCTCTTAACAAAAATCGCGTTTTTTGAGGATTTCAGGGTCTTTTTGGAAAGATACGGTGAGGTGACTGTAACTGAGTCACGAAAGGGACTTGCCGCTACCAGAGGACTTGCCGCTTGCTTGTCTAAATCAAAGTTACTAGGGGCTGTGCTATCGAATAATGCATGGCCTTAAGCTCCACTCCATAAAAATCACCGAGTTACGAGCCTACGAAAATTCCTCATGAATTTTGCCCAAAATGTAAAAATGGCATATTTCGTCAAAATTCCACCATGAGTGCTTGTATGACACTCGCATTGCGGATATTATGTTCGCTTCGCCCAATGACTCCCACTGTATTGAATTGGTGCTTGCGTCTGCTTCAGCTGCTCAATTGAATATCAAAGCTATTTCGTGGCTAGAGCTCAAACTACCAAATCTAACACAATAAGACATTAAGGGTGTGAGATGATTTGATCAACGTGCTGTAAACACTCACGGTGGAATATCGGCGAAATATGCTTTTTGGGCAAAATTTATAAGGACGTATTTTCGTGGGCTCGTAACTCGGCAATTTTTATAGAATGGAGCTTAAGCCATGCACCATTCGATAGCACAGCCCCCAATAACTTTGACTTAGGCAAGCAAGCGGGCAAGTTCTCTGACGGATACGCGTGAAGTGCGGGCAAAGTTACGCACTTTCGTGACTCAGTTACTCACCTCACCGTATCTTTCCAAAAAGACCCTGTAATCCTCAAAGACGTTGGGGGTCGCAAGGGTCGCAAAACCAAAAACAAAGCCGCTCTCGGTTTGAATCAAACTCATCAAGCCGAAACTGTACGCAGATCAATAGAGGTTCCTCTATCAACAATTTGGGTACGGTACGGCTTG